CTTTGTCCCATATGTCATTTGCAAATATCTTTTCCCATTCCGTTGGTTGCCTTTTAGTTTTGTTGGTTGTTTCCTTTGCTGTGCAGAAGCTTTTTATCTTCATAAGGTCCCAGGAATTCACTTTTGCTTTTAATTCCCTTGCCTTTGGGGATGTGTCGAGTAAGAGATTGCTACGGCTGAGGTCAGAGAGGTCTTTTCCTGCTTTCTCCTCTAAGGTTTTGATGGTTTCCTGTCTCACATTCAGGTCCTTTATCCATTTTGAGTTTATTTTTGTGAATGGTGTGAGAAAGTGGTCTAGTTTCAACCTTCTGCATGTTGCTGTCCAGTTCTCCCAGCACCATTTGTTAAAGTGTTGGCTGTTTTTTTTTACCAAAGCTCTTCAAAAAGAAGAGATGCACATTTGCAACTTGCTTGTCCTTTGCATGGTAGGCTTTTAGTCTCAGACTTTTGCTTCAGCTTTCCTCATTTGCCCCAGAAGCTCTCCATTCCAACTGCTATGGTTTTATTTTAAAAGGGGAGATTGGCTTAGCCCGCGTCGGAAGCCACCAGTAGAGGTTCTGTCTCACCTCGGCAGCACTGGAACTTTCAATAAGCATCTGGACCCCACCAAGGAGCCAGCAATGTCCCCAGCCACCAGCCTTCTATCTTGCAGGGGAGTGTGGCTCACTGCTCTGCCTATACCACAGTCCAGGCAGCAAGGGTACAGCGCTGGTGGCAGGTGTCTGGGAGTCTGGACGGTGCCTCTGGAATCCAGACCCTGACCCATCACATGGAACTGGGCTGGACACTGGCATCTCTGGGGAGGTCACTGCAGTGCATACATGAAGCAGAGAGCCAGGAGGGAAATAGGCACCCTGGGCTTCCAGACATCCTTCTGGTACTTACAGGTTGAGTAACTTCGGCCGGAGTCGCCTCATCTGACTAACCCTTTCCTTTCTCCCACAAAAGGGCTATAATTGTTGTGAGTTCCAAATACAATGGTGTGTGTAAACACCTTTGGTGGGCGGACCCCTGGGTGGCTCAGTCGGTTAAGTGTCTTGACTTCGGCTCAGGTCACGATCTCACCGTCTGTGAGTTCAAGCCCTGCATCAGGCTCTTTGCCGACAGCTCAGAGCCTGGAGCCTGCTTCAGATTCTGTCTCCCTCTCTTTCTGCCCCTCCCCCGCCTGCACTCTGTGTCTCTCTCTCTCTCTCTCTCTCAAAAATAAAAACCTTTGGTGTTAAAAAAAAAAAAAAAGCCGTTGGTGTTAAAATGTAAAGCCAGGTACGTGTTAATGATCATTCGTGATGATCATTGCCTTTATGCTAAATATGATCTGTTTGTTAATTACATCCAGGCATCAGAGTGTGCTATCAAATTATACCTTGCTGATTTCAACAAAGTTTCATAGCTGCTACCGTATACCCAGCATAGGACAACACAGACCCCCTTTTCTCGGCAGCTTTCGGTCCTCTGGGAAAATCACATTCTTACTGATACCCAGTTGGAGAGCAACATAAGACGGGATGTGACCAACATGCTTAATAGACTGAAGTTTTGAAGAGGGAAGATTTAGTATAAAAACAAGTGGTCAAAGTAGGTGCTGAGAATTGAAGCAGGGACAGTTTCTGGAAGGCAGACGAGAGGGAGGTGCACTGAAGTCAAAGGGAATGGTTTGAACCAAGAGGACAAGTTTGTGTGTGTGTACATGCCCGTGTGCTTGTGTGTTTAGGTAGGGAGGTGAGGGGAGGCGCAGAATATACAGAATGGGAAGAGAAATAATGCCTAGACGTACAGGCAGTGAGTCAGGAAGAGGGGAGGGGTCTGGTATAGCAGAGTGATTCTGGGTTCAGAGACTTGCATTCAGATGCTGTATTACAACAAGCTAACCTTACTGGATCTCAGTTCCCTCATGGACAAAACGGGGATCCACATAATAACTGTATTATAGGGAGTGTATCTGTGGTTCCCAAACTGTGTGCCAGGGTGTCCAGGGCTCTGCACCAGCCTCTCAGGGATACTGTGGAATGTCTCAACTTTTCAAGGGAAAGAGCGACATCTGTGTGAACTACTAATGCCAAGCTGTTTGGGTGTAACTACCGAACAAATGGAACACTTAGGCGTTTCTTTGGCCTGAGAGGTGCTGTAAAAATATTACTGAGACAGCAAAGGTGCTGTGAACATAGAAAGCTTGGGAACCTCTGTACCATATCATACCAGCCTGTAGCACAAGGATGCGGTGATTGCCAAATAAGGTCATGGGTGGACAGCCCTCAGTACCACAGCGCTCATGGAATAAGAACCGAGTGAGCGGTCAAGGGAGTTCAGATGGGAAGATGTGTGTTTGCTGCCCTTGGCTTGTCTGTAGAAGGAGCTTCATTTTAGACCTATAAGTTTTACTTTCCTTTCATGTTGTTTTGTTTCTTTTTTTTCCTCTGCAGGGACAATCCGATCGTCAGGTGATTTTTGTAAGTATGCTTTGGAAAGGTTATACCCTTGCCCCAACCCAGGATTCAGGGGGTCTCTTTTCATCAAAATGTTGATTTTCCTGCATCTCGGTCATACTGATTAAGGCCCAAGGGAGAGTGCTTAGCTCCAGTGTAAGCAGGGACCACAGAGCATATTAGATGAATGTTCGATCATTTAGAAAGAAGTCGCTTTTATTCTCCTATGTGTTGTTTCATCTCACGTGGCAGAGTAAGGTTAAGAGGAACATTTTTAAAGGTTGAAGTAATTTAAGCTCTGTTCCAAGACTAGGTGAGCAAGACTGAAAAGGAGAGAGAAGGTGTTTAAACTAGTGAGCATCGCTGTGGAGGTGCTTCCCCTCACCCATCTTTTCCCTTCTCCTTTCCTCGCTGCCTCTAGTGATTCCAGACCTTCCCAGTACGTCAGGACCAGGTCACCTAAAACTGCTTGCCTTGCTGGATTTAATGCCAAACAGAAGATCAGGTTGACCACTGATCGTATCCTCTGATAATCTGCCTACATGGAGGATTCTGATTTGGTTAGCATTTGACACTTAGAAGAACAACTTGCAGGTTCCAACCTGGAAAAATAAGTAGTAAAATAAACCAGGGCAATCTGGTCCTTTTTAGGGTTAGAAGTGGAAATGAATGTTTAAACTGGTGGGCTCCACACTTTCGGATCATGCATACGATTCGTTGAAAAATATTTGAGTGTGTGTGTGTGTGTGTGTATGGTTATAAATTATTCACATGCTACTCTACTAATAAATTATGTACTTTGTAAAGTTCCACAGGATTTAAAGGAGGAAATAAAACAAAAATAGAAAGTGCTTTTTCTTCTGTCATCCCAGGACATTGTCTTATTCACCCAGGGAGATACACTATCACCCTGCTTTGGAGTCCACTGGTCTGGTTGACCCACAGTAGTGATTGCACTTGGGTCTTATCCCAGGATGCAGAGAGAAGACGTAGGCAAGAATCATGAGACTTGCATGGAGTCCCAGCTCCTTCCTTCACCAGAGCAAGGATAATCTTAGGCAAGGTTACTGAACCCCTCTGGATCTAATCTCTCTTTGACTGTAAAATGAAGGGGTGGCCTAGTAATGGTTCCCAACTGGGAGTTTCTTAGTTCTTATGGGGCAAATGGGCCTAAGTGTGGACATTTTAGTGGACAAGCTTCAGGGATGCTGCTTTCCTGCGGTTCACAGGACAGACCCATACAAGGAAGATGTGTTCAGTCCCAAAGTCAATGCTGCCCTTTCTGTGAAACCCTGGAGGATACTTTCTAGCTTTCTGTGACCTCTAAGGGAATAGAATCCCCCAATTTTTCCCTCCACTCTGGCCTGCATAGCTTTCATCAGGGCCATTGGAAAAAGAATGTTTGGAAGATAGCATTTTTCTATTTCTCTGGTGCTCCCATGTCATGATGCTAGATATTCTCAACTTCTACCAAGGCAACCAAGGCCGAGCCTTGACTTGTAAAGTCAACTGTGAAGCTGCACCCAAGGTTACTACCTACCAACAAGGTCATTTTAGAGCAATCGTAGTATTTTAGTGTTGAAACTTTGGCCCAGAGAGGTTAAGTGGCATCTCCAAGATTGCAAAGCTATTTGGTAGCAGAACCAGGGTCTCCTGGCTCGCGGTCCAGTGCTCTCCCACTTTGTGCTTTCTTCCAGCAATGCTCACTGGATTCCCTTATGGAATAGTAGCTACCTGTCTGGACCAGTAAATGAGAAAACATAGAGCTTCATTCCTGGAAACAAATGACCTGGGTTTCCAGCCATAGGAGAAAAGTATGGCATGGAAGGGGGTAAAGATAGAATCTGAAATCAGGGTTAGAGATTTAAGTTCAGAGCCATTCAGCATGGTTTTGTCATCGCAAAGCAAGAAGTATTCAGTTAAGAATAGTCCCATCTTTTCAGGGGCTCCTTGTACATAGCTATCCAGATTATTTTTGTACATTGGGTCAGGTATTAATTAGGATAAAAATCTAACAGTTCAAAATCCCAAGATAATAGTGATTCTAACAAGATGTGCATTCATGTTTCCTTCAGGATATAACCTGTCTGGATATATATAACCAGTTTTGGTGGCTTCTCTCCATCAGAGACCCAGAATCCTTCCATCTCATTGTTCTGCCAACCCCGTTGGCCCTCCTTCCCATGGTCCAAATTGGCTCACTGATAACATCCACATTCTGGCCACTAGATGAGGAAACGAGGAAAGGGTACACAGCCCTTCCTATTAAGGGATAACTCAGAAATTGCCCTCATTATTTTAACTCAAATTCTATTGGACAGACTTTAGCCACATGGCCACAGCTAGATGCAAAAGATGCTGGGAAATGTAATCCTTGAGTGGTGATGGGCCAACTGATATACAGGGGTTCTATTATAAGAAAGGAGAAAATGGATATGAGGAAACAGTCATCCCTGTCACAGACTGTGAATAGAGGAATGGCACTGGTAAAGCAGATGTGGGTAAGGCAGCTGGACATCTGAAAAACAGAATAATAGCCTGAAAATTTGATATGCTATGTTTGAGAGTTGGGCAGTTAGAAGCATATTAAATTATGGTATGTATGAGGGAAACCAGACCCATTGTTGTTCTATATGTCATTGAGCTTTCTTCTTGGGCTCAGTGAACTAACTGGCCTTGTTTTTTTCTATCAGAGATGTGAATTCTCTGATCTCATGACAACCATTGGGGGTGCTGAGAAGACAAGGGAGGTAGCTTTTGGAAGGGGTTTTGCATTTCAGAAGGGCTAGACAAACACAAAGCAGGGTTATTTTGCAACAAAGCATCCAGCCTTGCCTCCTCACCCCCCAAAAAGGGTGTGGGAAGGGGTCAGTGAGGACTGCTGAATTCACTCTGGACTCTACTCCAAGAAGGCAGTTTCCCTCACTGTCTTTCACCGTCTTGTATAGAAATAAAAGCCAAGGGAGATAAGCATTTTGACTTATTCTCAAACTTCCACAAGGCAACAAAACAAAACACTTTGTTTTTCTACTTCAGAAAGTGCATATACAGCATCTTATCTAATTTGATGCAAATCATTATAAGACATTTAAGGATGGAAGTAGAAAGATTTGTGGATTTCTGTGGTATTTTCATGAAGAATCCAAGGGTTATCCCTAGTCACAATATAGTGAGAGGTTTCATTTGGGACGATTTATGTCAGAGGAAGAAGTGATGGTTAAATCATTGAGTCCAGCTCCTCTTTCCATGGCCCCAGCTACTCAGTGCTCTTGACCCTCACTCCCTCCTGCCAACTAACCAGCTAGTCAAAACAGGAAAGACACAGGAAAAGACTGGAAAAAGCTGGCTTCTGGGAGGGCCATCTTCTATCTATCTATCTATCTATCTATCTATCTATCTATCAATCAATCAATCAATATACCCGGGCTAAAGGTAGGACTACTCTTCCATATATAAAAAAGTTTAATTGTTTTTCAAGCTACATAAGCAACTTCTACAAGTCTAATGTCTTTTGGTTTTCAATGATAACTTAAAAATTTTTTGGTACATAAACTTCTGTGCAGTAATTAGTCTTCAGTGTTTATGCTAAGTATTTTTTATTGATTTACATATATTTAAGGGGCAACTGGGTGGCTCAGTCGGTTGGGCATCTGACTTCGGCTCAGGTCATGATCTCACAGTTGGTGAGTTTGAGTCCCGCATCGGGCTCTGTGCTGACAGTTTGGAGCCTGGAGCCTGCTTTGGATTCTGTATCTTCCTCTCTCTCTCTCTCTCTCTCTCTCTCTCTCACTGCCCTTCCCCCACTCTCTCTCTCTCTCTTCCTCTTTCTCTCAAAAATAAATAAACATTAAAAAAATTTAAATATATTTAATATTTTTTGTACATGTATTACCGAGTTAGAACTTGGCTTTGGAGTCAAACAAAGCGGAATTCAAATCCCCACTTTGTCACTTAATAAATTCATGTCCTTGAGCAAATCATTAACTTTTCAGAGATTGTTTTCTCCCTTATAAATGAAAATAAGAGTGCTATCTCCCACATATGACTGAAGGAAGATTTAAATCAGGCTATGTGTTCCTGGAACAGAGAAAACACACAATAATACATGCTAATTGTAGTTGTATTTGGTATTGGCTCATAGCTAATATCTTTAATAATCTATAGCCACACCACTCCTCTCATATGTCATATAGCATATAGACTTCATGGGAGAAAAGGATCCTAAAGCAAAAGGCTGTGAGGGTATTGGCTTGAAAGTGTATTTTTTACTGTCATAGGAACAGCCTAGTCATGGCCTATGAGAGAATGAGAAGCCTTATATCCACTTGGTACCACCAGTCCCTTAATTTCTGACTAGCCATGGACCCAGGGGACAGATAGTGGAACTAGGGTGCACAGATGCAGAGAATTAGGGCAGAAAGGGGGCTTTGGAGTGAGGTCCATACGTTCAGCCATGACCCCTTGTATAGCTGCATGTAGGATGGCGGGGGTCAGAGTGGAAGGGAGAGGAAGATTGGAGACAGAAACCTTCAGGGAGGCTGGAGAAATGGCCCAGGTAAGGATTCAGAGGAAGTGGAAGAAGGGAGCAGATCTGAAAGGCATGTGGAGGTGGCTGGAAGGAAGTAGGTAAGAGGAAGTCAGCCTTGTTGCTGGAGTTGCTAACTCCAGGGACTGGGACGGAGGTACTGGGACGGAGGATTCAGTAGTAGAAGCTGGTTCTTGATGAGGTAATCTGCTTGTATTGGACGCCTTGATTTGATTTCTTTCATTCATTCACTTTTCCTTCATTCATTTATTCATTCATAAAAAAGCATTGCTTGAGTATTTGCTACCAGTCTGGTAAAACTGTTCTAAGCTTTAGGTTGCCAGAGGACTAAGCACTTGCTCCTTCCCTCAAGTGGGTGGGGAGGAGGTGACAAATAAACAGACAATTACAATCTAAGGTGAGTGGTGCTAAGATTGAGGTACACCAAGGACGCCAGGGAAGCACAGAGGAGGGGGGCCTCACCAGACTGGAGGCTGGGGGTCAGAGAAATGAGGTAATGTCTCAGCTGAACTGAGTCATGAAGGATGAGCAGGGGTGAGCCAGGCAAGAGTGGAGAGAAGGGCATTTCATGTGGAGGGAGCAGCAGGTTCAAAGGCCCAGAGGCAAGGAATTGAATGGCATAAATTTGCGCCCTGCCAAGTTCTGAAGTATGCCTGGAATACAGAATGCAAGGAAGGGAAGAGGCATGAGATGGCGCTGGAAGGATGAACAGGGGGACACACTAGGCTATTCTAAGGGGATTTTTAAATGGGAAGTGATAGGCTCAGATTTGACGTTTAGGAAGATAACTGTAGCAGGTGGAGTCTACGCTGGTGATGGAGGCGGCGTGGGTGGCAGGGAGAATTGAACCCACTGTCAAAATTATGAGGACTTGCGCTTAAGTGGCCATGAGGATAGATCGAAATAGATTCCAGTGATGTGAAAGAGTCCTGGTGCCTGTATTGGTAACTGACTGAATGGTGGTTAGAGAGGAGGGGTGAACACAAAGGGGCAAGTGTCAAGAACTTGTGGTTTGGGTAATGAGGAGAGAGAGCACAAGAGGGGAGGCAGTTTCTTATTTGGTTTTCAGTAGCGGGAGGAGGAACGATTAGTTGAACTTTGGTTATGTCGAACTTGAGTGGCTTGGTGTTGTGGGGTAGAGATGTCCTAGAGACAGTCACAAACCCATGTCTGGACATCAAGAGGCAGGTCAGAACGGAGAGGCAGATTTGGAAGATGTCAAGTGAAGGTGGTGCTAGAAGCTAAGGACGTAGTAGATGAGCTGCCCCAAGCAAGACTACAGAGTGAGAGGGCAAGATGGTGAGGGGTGAGTCCCTGAGAAAGACCAACACGTACGGGGCAAGCAGAGAGTGGGGAGTGGGTGGAGAATATTGAGAAGGAGCAATGAGAGAAGTAGAAGGAGACCAAGAAGGAGCCAAGAAGGCTTCCAAGGGAACCAAGAAGTTTAAGATGCAAGGATAAGCAACAGTATTGAAAGGTGCAAAAAGTCATGTATGGAGAGTCATTTCCATTGGATTTACTACAGAGTTATGTAGTAACTTTGGTAAGAGCATCTCAATAGGTTTATAGTGTAGAGAGGCCTGGTGAGGAGTGAATCGGAGGAGAGAAAGTGGAGGTAACCCCTGCCCCTGTAGAGAGGAGGTGGGTGTATGCGTGCTGACCATTTTTAAGGTGGGAGAGATGAACACAGTAAATAGAGAAGGACCAGGGAGGTAAGAGAGGGGATGGAGTTACAGAAGGTGGACAACGGGTCTAATTCAGAGCACAGGGGAGGAGCCAAGCCCTGGACCAGGGGTTCTTACACCAGGCTGCCCATTAGCCTGAGCTGAGGGCTTTAAACTGACCACCAGAGCCCAGCCTTCCATGGACTCTGATGTAGGTAGTCTGGAGTGGAGTCCAGGCACTGGTCATTTTTAGCGATTCTAACGTGCACTCAAAGTTACGAACTACTGTAGTAGGTCTTCGGTAACTATTTGTTGAATGCTTTAAAAGTTTTTTTGATCAGTGGGTGAATTCTCCTTAGCAACAGTGAAGAAGGTTTGGTCATCTGCAGAAGAGGTTACGAGGAAACACAAGGCAGGATCCCTGCTCTCAAGTCGCTGACAATCCCATAGGAGAAATAGTAGCACATGGTTTGTAGTAGAGGAAAGTGCTAGATTAGTGGCACAACAGTTGGTAGGGTAAGATCAGGTCGGGTGGTCAGGAGTAGTGGGGAAGATTTGGGTCTCAGAGAAGTGTCGGAGCCTAGCTACGCAGAGAAGAGCAAGGGCCCCACACACTCAAGTCAGCAGCCATTACCACCGTTTCTTGAGGACGGCTTCGGTACCAGCCACTTTACACACATTATCCCAAGTAGTATAGTTCTGCAGGATTGTTATATATCATCTCCATTTTATAGAGGAAGAAGCTGAGGCTCAGGGGATGTGACATCAAGGCCATGGCTAGGAATAAGTGGCAGGATCAGGATTCAAGCCCAGGACTCGTTGATTCCAAAGCCGGTGTCCTTTCCGCTACAGTGTGCTGGGACCGGTGAGACCCAGACTCCCACTTACTACGCAGCACTGTAGTCCCAGGGACATACTGCTTTTGCCAAAGCCTAAAGTGGAGTAAGTGTTCTTCAGCTGGGGCTTTCTGGTCAGGGCCATTTGTGTAGGTGAAGTTCATATACGCCCTTCATCAATGCGGGGTCCCTGGACCAGCAGCAGCATTTGGAGACTTCTTAGAAATGCACATTTTCAGGCCCCTTCCCAGAGGTACTGAGTCAGAAACCCTGGGGGATGGGTGGGGGCCAGACCCAACAATTTAGCCTTCTTAGAGATTCTGATGCCCTTTAAAATTTGAGAACCAAACTTGGAGTCCCCACTTTTTAGTACAAATCAAGACGTCAGTTTGCTGTTGTGGCTAGTCTCTGAACATCTGTGTCGTGCAAGTGGAGAGAAAGAACTGGTGGGTTCCGACCCTCAAAAAGATTGTTACCTCGATTTTAGCAGCCCAGTACTCTGATCAAAGAACTCAAATGTTAAAAGTCATATCTGATAGGGAGAATGAGTCTTAGTTCTAGAACAGTGTATAGATTCCAGTAAAGGGTAATTCTCTAGTTGTGGGAAATATGTGATGGTGTTTTCCTTTCTGCAAATTTTAAAACTTGGCCAACCCTAGAGACAGCAAAAGGGTCTCTGTCCCCTGTAGTTTCACAGGGGCCTTGAGATGCAGCCCTCATGGAAGTTGTCTGGTTTGCTCTACTAGGACTTCTGGTCATTGACACATTTCCCGTTTGGTCATTGACAGGAGGAAGTGATTGGAGACTTGAAACCAGGCACTGAATATCGAGTGAGTGTAGCAGCTTACAGCCAGACTGGCAAAGGACGGCTTAGCTCTCCTCGGCACGTTACTACTTTGCCCCAAGGTAAAATGGGTTCAATTCATCAAGATTAGGAAAGCGATGGGTGCTATTCATTCATTCCTTCCTTCAGTATGTATCAATGAGGACCTACTGTGTGCCAGGCACCATGCTGGGCTCTGGTGGTGAACAAAACTAGGCACAGCCTTTGCCCTCTCAGAACTCAGTGAGGTGGGTGAAGACATTACCTAGTTAACGTGTAGTCACAGATTGTGGTAAATGCTGTAAGAACGTACAAATGGAGACCCCATGTAGGGGTGAGGTAAGAATTCTCTAGGGAGGTGACTGCTAAGTGAAGGTCTGACCAGTAAGTGGGAATCAGAAAGGGGAGGAAGGACAGTGGGAGAAGAGATTTACAGGCAAAGGGAACCCAACAAAGGCTCATTGATGTGGCACTGTGCTGGACAATGGGGGACAAAGGTTACTCAATCATCATTGCTCACAAGCTCATTGTGGAGCGAGAGGCAAATGATAGGTGAGTAGATCCAGGGCATCTGAGGTCTGCGCAAAGGGCTCTGGAGCATTCAGGAGGGAGCACCTCCCCTACTCCAGGGATCAGGGAGGGTTTTAGAAAAATCCATATTTGGGGCCCGAACTTTGAAAACTACATAAGATCCTGCTAGCAAGAGAAGACAGGAAAAAATGTTTCTGGCATAAGCAATAGTGTAAACAAAGGCCGGGAGATGTGAAAGTCTAGATATGAAGAGTAATAGCAGTTACCTTGGGGTGATAGGATCATGGGTGACTCTTACATCTTTACCCATGAGGGTATTTCCCAAATGTCCTACCTTTAGGATGCATTCTGATGGTCAAGGCAAAACACACACACAACATACACACACACACACACACACACGGAAGAACTGAATGTAAGTGACAGCAATGCTCTGCATTCAATTTTCCTTGCAGGTATCAATTCCAACCTGCAAACAGAGATGAAAGGTTACCAGGAGGTGGGAGTGTGGTTGAGGGTTTTAAAGGGTACACACCATTGTGTGTCCCGGGGCCAGGGGTCCGGACGTAATTTAGTTGGATTTTCAGCCAGGGGGCTGGGGAAAGAAGAGAAGACCAACTTTTAGTATCTCAAACCTTACATGGTGAATCCAGTTGTGATTATTTTTTGTGTTTGGTTTGGATTTTGAGGCTGTTCTGAACAGAGATCTTTAGGCAATGGGAAGCATAAGCTTTTTATATATTAAACATCCCCAGCAGCAAAGACCACCGCCAACTCTAGGTGTTTGCTGTCCCACCTAGATTCCTGCCTGCCTCCATCAGCACCCCAGCAGCCACATGTCACTGTGGTCTCTGATTCTGAGGTAGCCCTCTCTTGGAAACCTGGAAAGAGCGAAGGAAGCTCCCCAATTCAGTACTATTCTGTGGAATTCATCAGGTAAGTTTGTGTGTCACATTTAAAAGCCATATGTATTGACCTTGGGTATTCCAAGCACGATAGGATGCCACATGGAGAGCCGTCTCTGCTGTCTGTGTCTTTAAGAGATGACAAAGGCTTGAAGACCTGCATTTTTACTCGGCCCTTGGGCCAGCACCTGTCCCTACTCCTCTTTGGAGCTGGGTCATCTGGTAAACCCATCTGCACTCAGCGTACCTCCGCCTCATTTCCCCTTCACAGTCAGGACTATCTTAAGCTCTGAAAACTCCCAAGGCATCATTTGCCAACAAGCCTGCCTGCATTTTCACTCTTGAAACCCGCCTCCCTGGCTTTGCAACATTACATCTGAAATAAATATCTGATGGTGATTTTTCTTGAGGGAGGTGGGGAAAACATCGATAAGTCATTGTTTCCTTCACATCCTGATTTGCTGTGGGGCCGGTTTCTTGGTTCAGTTTCAGTTTTTTTCTCTCATCTGCCTCTCCAGTTCTTGTTATTCAGCTTTATCAGAGGGTACAAGAGTGACAAATTCTTCCAAAAGCTTACAGATATAAAAACATGGATTCTCAATGCTGCTATGTAGTTTTAAGCAAAAATAAGTAAAACTAAACCAAACAAAAACAACGTGCACGCGCTCCCCCCACCCACACCAAGCAAAAAGAATTCCTAATCTAAGGTCCTTTCTCTGACTCCAGTAACAGCTGGAGTGTGAACTGAGCACCTGGCTGATGGAAATGTCTGCATAGTTAGTATTCTCTACATTAAAGGCGGGATTTGTCTAAAGCCTGCTGCTTCCTGATTCATAAAGGGACTAGTTCAGCACCTCATTCCTGAGGCTTTCTGACGCCGGGACAGATGATTCTGCCAAGATTTGATTAGCTCTGCTCTGTGGCTTGACTTCCTTGCCTATTCCTTGGTAGTGAAAAATAGATACTTGTTTCTTCAGAGAAGCACTGCATGGAGTCCCTTTAATGCCTGAGGACAGAGCTGGTTTCAGGCAGGACTTATTGACTTGCAAGTGGCAGAAGCCTGGAAGAAGACGAGGCAGTTCTATGTTGGCTCCTGTGACTCTAAAGTCCGGTGGAAAATCCAGATTCAGGGAAGATGTGATCTGTTCCAAAGCAGCCATTTGTCTCCGTCCATCTCTGTGCTATGCTTTCCCCTGTATTGGCTTCATTTTCAAGAAGGCTTTTCTGATGTGGCAAGACAGCCACCAGGCACTGAAGAGTTGCCACCCACTAGCGTAGCTCCCCACAGGAAAAGAGTGGTCATTTCTCAGTGGACCCACTTGAGTCTCAGTGTTCACCTTAGTTGGCCAGGGTTGGGTTCCTCTCCATTCTCTGAGCCAGTCACTGTGGCCAGGGAGGAGGCTACCCTAATTGGGCAAACATTTGTCATATTCTGAGCTCTGGAACTGGTGGGTCATTCGTACCTGAAGTACACGGGTGGAGAGAGTTCGGGAGGGTTGGCTCCTCAAAGGAAAATTGTGGTGCTGTTAATGAAAGAGGGAAGGAGAGATCCTGAGAAAATTAGAGGAAGGAAACGACGCCCACTGCAAAGTTCCAGACTGATGCTCATCATTGAGGATAATCGGCAAACCTGCTGTTGAACAAATTTGGTAGGCAAAGCTGGGGTGTGCCTGGAATAGAAGAGATTCTAATGCTCATTCCGAGAGTAAACATGAAACACTGAAAGTCCTAAAACTTCGGCTTGCTCATCTGTAAAACTTGGGCTGAAACTTAACATTTCTGATTCACATTCATTCATTTGTGATGCATTTCTGTCTAGCACACCCAAAGCAAAATGTAGTACTTTGAAATTTGGGGAAATGCAATTTTTTTTTTCCCGCGAGCCCAGCGGACTGTCTGTATAACCACCAGCAAAGATGATGGCTACCATTTATTTTTAATTGTGAGCTAAAACATGTATTTTTAAAACTTTTTTTAAGTCTGGCATATTAACAAAAGGTAGACATTGCAGCTTAACTTGTGTGCACAACTGAAAGTGGACGATGAAAGTGATTCGCTGGGGTTCGAACCAGAAGAACCGGAAAAGAGCCCTGCCTCCACTACCTGCCGGCCAGGAGGCCCTGCGCCGATCACTTCCAGCCCTGATACTTCAGTCCCTCTTGTAGTTTGGGCTCCCCCACAGGATAGCCTGATACAAGGGCTAGAGTGCAAGTGGTTTATTTTATTTGGAAGCAGGAATGAGAAAGTGGAAAGGGTGAGACAGGGAAGGAGGATGAATAACTATGTCGCTGAAGTCCCTTCTAGAGGTAGCAGGGGCTTCTATGGAGGTTTGATCCCACTGAGCACTCTTTGAAGTATGCAGAATCCCTCTCAAAGGACAGGAGCCATTTGCCCACCGGCTTCTGTTCTCCTCTTGATTGAGGGTTTCCTTCAGGGGCATAACTTGCCATATTTCTAGGCTCTGCCAGCATGTAGATTAAGGACAAGGATCTCAGGATAGAAGAAGGTGTGATATGAGCACAGCAGGTGATTGAGGTTGGATCCTGGTCTGTAAGGCAAATCTGAGCTCACATGAAACTTTCCACCCCCAGCTGTTGCTGCAACCAGAAGTGGGACAAAGGGAGGTGACTTGGAGCCCCAGACGTTGACTGCCAGTCCTTATCTGCAATTAGATGGGTGAAAACCTTATCTGCAATTAGATGGGTGAAAACCAGCCTTACAGTGGGTGGTCAGGAGGATCAACTGAAATCACATATGAGAGGGAACTTTGTAGATATTAAAACCTACAAAAGTGTAAGATATATATGGGTGTTATGTACCTACGTGTAATAATTATACTTCGTCACCAACAAAAATGCATTTTAACATTGAAAACAAGTCTCTAACGTTTGAGGGCTCAGGTCCCCAATTTTTATGTACACACATTTAAAAATTATATACCATTCTAACAACTCTTAATTTTTTTAAAAAAATCTATTTGTCTTGACCAGTATAACTTTACCATGTTTTCTGAAAAGCTAACTTTGAATTTAAAACTCTTGGACATCTTGGAGTTTCAAATGGAACATGGCAGAATGGGGAAAGCTGACCCCTATTCCCAGCCCCTATCCTAGGAATTCTGCGTCTCTGTTTTCTTCCCGAATATGTAGCTTTGGTCAAATGATTTTATCTCAGAACCTCCACTTCCTCGTATGTGATACCAAGCTGATGTAATTCTCATTGGAAAATTGTTGGTTACTGTCTTCATAAAGTGTTTCGCAGATATTGAATATCTGTTAGTTTCCTCCCCTCCACACTACTACTTCTTTGTGACAAAGAAAGAAGTTGAGACTCAATTGCTTAAGCTGCTTTGCCAAGGTAAAATGGCTGGTTGGGAACAGAATCAAAATTGGAAGTCTCCTGACTTCCAGCTCAGTACTCTTGTGAAGCCCTATATCCCTTTCATGTCTGTGATCCACCTTCAGAAATGGAAGCATAGGGGCGCCTGGGCGGCTCAGTTGGTTGAGCGTCCGACTTCGGCTCAGGTCATGATCTCACAGCTCGTGAGTTCGAGCCCCACGTTGGGTGGGCTCTGTGCTGACAACTCAGAGCCTGGAGCCTGCGTCTGCTTCTATGTCTCCCTCTCTCTCTGCCCCTAACCCACTCGCATTCTGTCTCTGTCTCTCTCAAAAAAGTAAATAAACATTAAAAACTAAAAAATAAAAAAAAAGAAATGGAAGCATAGACTCAGCCCGCCCAGAGCCCTGCTGGTAAGGATACACGAAGCCTCATCTTAGGCTGCTGTTTGCTGTTGTTCTAGAAAGAAAGCTTTCACAGCTTCTCGTGGTATTTAATGTTTGGCTGCAGAAAAAAAATCCCCATATCCACTTGTAAACGTCTCAGAGTCTATCCCATTACGCGTGAGTGCTCAAGGATACGTTTAGAGAGAGCTTTTCTGAGGGCTAAATCAGAAACTGCAATTAGCATGAGAAGCTTCTGGGAGTCTTTAGTCATCATTCTATTTTCCCCAGAAAGGTCTGCTTCATTTTAATATTAAATTCTTTTTTGCCCAGATACCTCCTGTGTACAGAAACACCTGTGACAGGTCTTTAGTTTCTTGTTATATCCAAGAGGGAGGCCTTTGGCAAGCCAACACTAGGAAATTGTAGAAATCAGTTCACCGCCAGAGGTTATCCTAAGATTTCAACCACCTTAATGTGAAATTCTCTTCCCAGTCCTGTCCCTGGAAGAACAGCTTCTCCTCTGTCTCTCTGCCTTGGTAGGCACTTCTACATCAGTTGGTCTTCTTAGTCGATGAGGATAATGATATTAAAGGCTTTGTTAAGAAATAATAGCCTAGGGGCCCCTGGGTGGCTCAGTCGGTTGAGTGTCTGACTTCAGCTCAGGTCATGATCTTGCGGTTCGAGAGTTCAAGCCCCGTGTTGGGCTCTGTGCTGACAGCTCAGAGCCTGGTGCCTGCTTTGGATCCTGTGTCTCCCTCTCTCTCTCTGCCCCTTCCCTGCTCACGCTCTGTCTCTCTCTCTCTCTCTTTCTCTCTCTCAAAGATAAATAAACATTAAAAAATTTTTAAAAAGAAGTAGTCTAAAAGCCTTTTTAAAAACTATTTAACTGGCTGATAAAAGCTTAACCTGAGGAATTACACTAGACCAGAGTCTGGGGGTACTGACTGCTTACTTGCTAGTTTGGGTGATATTTCAGGTAGACATTGTATATTTATGATGCTGTCTTGAGTCATGGGCTTAGGACCAAGGAAAATTTTGTTTCTCATCCGGCTTCTACCTCCTTAAAATGAAAGACATCCTTAGGGTGACCACCCTGAAGGGGTGCTCTCAGTGTCTTATTCTCTGGTTCAGGCAAGATGAAGCTTTTCGTTGAGAGTAATCTGATCTCCCCCAGAGTTGGCCTGGGGGCTATTTATTTGCTTCCTCACTAACAGTAGATTTTTTATTTTAGTGTAGAAAAAAATGTGAAGAGGCTGATTCTAAGTAAGCCTAGGCTGTAACATATTTTGCAATGTTTTTCAAACGTTTA